GGCACCAGATGGAACCCAGCTCCTTGCCAGTCCTCAAATGAAGGAGCCCCTCCAATCAGGATGGCAATGGAAAGTGATTGCTTGACTCGAAGCTCCTCCTGAGCCACCAGATCTTGGATCCACAACAGCTTGCCTGCTATGTGACGCAACTTCCCTGGGCCTCGTCGGTGACAAAGATGTAGGGCCGCTGAGTTGTCGACCAAACACTCATGCATCACCGCCTCATCCACCAAGAACTCCAAGCGTCGCTTGAGGTAAATTCCGTCTGCTGCTGAGCTCACCAAAGCATTGAGCTCTGCTTCTGCTGGGGATAGTGCCACACTCTTCTGTCCTCTTGAACTCGTAAAGATCACCATCTCGTTCAGCATGTGGATTGCAGCTGAGGTGGATCGCCGGTGACTCTTCGAACCAGACCAGTCGCTGTCGCTGAAGGTTTGTAGGATCCATCTGGCCTCCATTGTGCGACAAATCAGTCCTTGCCCTGGTTCCCCCATTTCTAGGATGCTATGCTGGCCAATCGTCCCCTTGAGGTAGCCGATGAGTTTCCCAAGTTTCCTCAAGCTGCTGGCCGTGGGAAATGACATAGTTGATGTCAGCTCCTTGATCGTGTATGAGACGTCTGGCCTCTCCTGAGAAAGATATATTCCACATCCCACCAGCGAGCGATATAGGCTTGCCAGTTCGGCTTTGAGCTCCACCGAACCATCAGCTTCCAATACTTCAGGACCACAAGGAAGCTTCTGCACCTTCACCTTGCCCATCTTCTCCTCGTACATCTCAATCATGCTCTCGGCATACTTTCCGGGCATAACCTTCAAACCATCTTCAACTTCCACATAGGTCCTCTGCAAGAACTGGAATGAGCTGCCATCACCCACCAAGTGCTGCTCTGAGATCTCAAAACTCTGCTTGAGATCCGGGATGAATTGCTCCATCACATACTCCTGCCCCCCCACAAACATCACATCATCGACGTGAATGAGGAGCATCATCTTCTGGCCCAAACGTCCGATGCAAGGGTTGATCTCGGAGAAACGGAATTCCTTTGCCTTCAACCAGTCGGTAAGGTACTCAAACCACACCCTGGCCATCTCCCACCTCCACAACCCAACCTAGTTTCAAGCCTTTGAGCCATTCCAAAGCCTTTTGACCTTTTGGTAGCCTTTCCAGGTGGCTTTCAATGTTCCATATTGATTGTTAATTTCCCATATTATGCATCTTTAGTTCTGTAGATATTTGTAGATTCCATATGTTGCTTTTCAATGTCTAGGCGCATACCACCGGTTTAGGGGCGTCCCAAAATGTAGCTTACATTTTCGGAGGTTCCGTTCTCTTAACGCCTTTCTGTGTTTTCCCCCTTTTCCTCTAGACCTTTCTTCCTTCTCTTCCCGTTCTTTTCTGTATT